GACTTTATCGCCAATAAAATCAATGATAATATTTTTTCCGCATTGTTGAAGAGTAGACTTTAATACACAGATTGAACGAGGTTTTTTTTCTGGTTTTTGCACTAAGAATGCCCACCAGTTCCAGATATATTCGATAAGTTCATTATTTTCATCACAAATTACATTTTTTACGTGCCAAAGGATAGGATCCATAATTTCTTTATTAATTTCTGGTGCTGGTGTAGCTGTAAATCCCAGGAAAAGATTAAAGAAATTTGTTTTTGGTGGAATTACATTTGGTGGGTATGGAAGAAAGTTGATTTTGCGATAATGAATTAGACTTTTGGTAACTGCTCGATCTATTAATGATCTTAACTTTATTGATTCTCCTCCAAATTCGATTATATTAATCTCATAATTAGCAAGTTCTAGTTTGGGTACAAATTCAAAGGTAAGCCCGCCATCTTCATCTTCATCTTCAACTTTAAATATCCAAAACTTTTTACCTCTATCGATATATGCAATTGTTGCTTGGATAGCTTCGTAAACCTTATTATGGGTATACTTTTCTCCCGATGAACACATGTCAATTAAGTCGCCCCATACAAAACGATCATTTGGATCCGTTATTCTAGGTTGGTTTATTTTTTCTGGAACCAGAAGGCTCTCTTCTCGTTCCGAAGTTTTTTCTTTAATGGTCAACTTTATTGAAGGTTTTCTAGATCCAGCTTCCCTACTATTATTCGCACGATGACAATAGAAACTATACGATTTTTTGTTTCGGATAACATATGCATTATCGCTTGTATGTGGATCTTTATAACCATATTCTCGATAACATAATGGGCAAAATGCTGGAGTTACCTGTTTAAGAGGAAAAGTATCAGGAAAACTTTCATGTGGACATGAAAGTTCGTATCCTTCAATTTCGAATTCTTCTAATAATTTTGCAACCAAATTGAGTTCGATTTCAATATCCTCAGTAGTACATGTGTTAGAAATTTTTGTTGCTACGTACTCCGAGATAGATAAGAGAGAACTATCTATAACTGGCGATTCATCATGAGGAGGACAAAGCATAAAATCAAAAATAGATCCATCTTTTGGATATAGTGCTTTCTTTACTTGTACATGCTCATTAGTTTTTTCGATGAATTTTGGTGTTCCAACAATCCGTAAAGAAAATGATTTTTTATTTGCTATGTTATCGACAATATTCTTGCTTTGTAAAGCTATCGGAAGCTTTTTTCGTACAAGCTCAGTAAATTTTGCAACTTTGGAAATATTTTTGAGTCGGAGACCACATGTTGATATGTGGAGTGATATTTTTTTCGAATCGCTACTACTAGCAATAGTCAGAGTGGTTTTATCCCAATCTGGATATATCTCTAAACAGACTTCTTTAAAGGCACGGCAAAGTAAATTTCGCGCCTCTACAGGTGTATTTTTTGGTTCTATTTTATTGAGACATTCAATAGGTAAATCAAAATCGATAAAAGGACGAAGTGGATCATCTCCATCAATGATTTCGTGTAATGAATGTCCTTGCCGTTCACTAAGTATGGCTTCTATTCCATCCTCGGTATCTGTACCAAGAAATTCATAATTATTACTATCATCGCGGATTTTATATAGATATTCGGCTACACTCTCAGCTTTGTGTCCCCGGTGAAAGAAGGCGCTGTTAACGTCTTTGAAGGAGGTTTCAAAAACGGAATTTTGCAGTTGAGAATTGGAAACAGATTCAAAAACAGAATTAGCAGTGCTAGCTTCGCTATTTTCACTATATATTGACATCTTTATTCTGGCAGTATAATATTCGCAAGAAAATAATTCAAAATGAAAATTAATTCCGGAGAATATAAATAAACAAATTTTAATTATCATATTGTATACATATGGCATTTTTCCGTTGCTCCTATATTCTTAGAACTGGTAAGGAATGTAACCGGAGATGTTACCGCCCAGAAGGCTGTAAAGTTCATTGGGATTCTCCACCACGTGTTCCTTGCGGAGAGTGTAGCAAGTTAACTAATTCTGATTATGGTTTTTGCGATACTCATGCTAAAAAACACCGAAGCAAGGCAAGATACTATCGGAAAAAGTCTGAAAAGCTCGCCCAGGAGTCATCTGAAGTAGAAGGGGGAGGGGGGCAAATTATAGTTGAGGAAATTCCGGCATATAAATATACTCCAATTAAGTGTCAGCAGTAAAAAAAAATGCCACTGACAGCTTTCCTGGAGTTCTAAGCCCGAAAGCGAGTCTTCTCGATAAGTGTCAGTAGTGTCAGTAGTGTCAGTAGTAGTTTTTCCGATTTCCGATTTCCGATTTTTTTTTTTATTTTTTTTTATGTATACGTACATATACCACATATATACAATATATATATATATATCATATATAGGAAAAGTTTCATTTTTTTTTTCCTAGAAATAGATTTTTTACTACTGACACTACTGACACTTATAATAAAGTAATCAAGAAAGAAGAGAAAAAGACTAGGAAGCTCAACCAGACTAAGAAAGCTGTCAGTAGTTGAATATGATCAACTACTGACAACTACTGACAACTACTGACAACTACTGACAACTACTCGCAAAAATATTTTAAAAAAAACGCCACTAAAAAAATTGTCAATCAATATCATTACTGCACCTCATTACTGCGCCTGTGAGTTCAAACTCACACTTAATCATATATATTTTAATTACAATACTATGTATGGGATTTATATGCTTACCTGTCATTATCCAATTTTTTGATATACTAATACAGAAAAGTGATACACAAAAGTAAGATTTAAAAAAATGTCATCAAAAATTTTTCGTCTATTATATTTTGATTATTTGAAGATTTGTATTTTAATATAATAAAAAATGTCTGATGATTGTACTTGTCTATTCGGTCATGAGCCCGGTGAAATTTGTAGAGGAAACAGTCCAATACCTGAGGAATGTAGTCATTGGAAAGGCGAAAGAATAATACCATGTATTAAATGTGGTATACCAACCGTTTCAACCCCTGGTCGATGTCCATTGCATATTAGGAAACGCTATAATAAACTCCGATCAATGGTACGAGAACCCGATATAAAACAAGTGACAAAAAAAATAAAAAATGGCCGCACATCTAGGCGGCTAAAAATCAAAAAATGGCCGCACTCAAATGAGGCTGAAAATGACTACTTCATCAACCCGCAATCAAATGACATCATATAAGTGAATGCATTGTTGGGATCCATATGGATGCCATTTTTTTTTTTTATGTGGCCGGAAATTAAAAATTAGCCGCACTCGAATGTGGCCAAAAAAATGAAATAGGCCGCACTCGAAGGGGGCCAAAAAATCAAATTAGGCCACATAGGTAGGTAACAGTCTAACATAAGTAGGTAACAATATATATAT